CCCCACACCCCTCCCATGCTTTGCTCAGTGAATCTTCTTAGCCCCAAGGCATGGCAATCCTTTGTGTGATCCACTTTCCCGACAGTTGGTGGATATGAAAATTAAAACCTGGAGTGAGGGTGACTTTGGAGTTTATCAGCTTCACAATATTATTTTCTTTAAGAAGTCTCATCTCCCAAATATTGTATCTTTTCTCATTGTCTTTCTGGATTGAAGGAGAAGTAATTCCTTAAGGATGTGGGGAGGGATACAGGGTGGAGAATAGTGATGAGATCTAAATTATGGCCCTCAAGAAAAATGCTAAGCCAGAAATGTGTTGATATTCCTAGTGCTGATGTACATGGTTTGGTTTGAGAAGTATGAAGGAAAGCATGCCCAATCACAGGGTAGGGTGGTGGGGGCACAAAAATTGATCCTGAGCCCTCCACACTAAAATCTAGTTTTGTTTGTTTGTTTTTGGTACCGGGGATTGAACTCAGGGGCACTTGACCACTGAGTCACATCCCCAGCCCTATTTTGTATTTTGTTAGAGAAGGGTCTCGCTGCATTGCTTAGCACCTCACTTTTGCTGAGGCTGGCTTTGAACTTGAGATCCTTCTGCCTCAGCCTCTTGAAGCACTGGAATTATGGGCATGTGCCACCGTGCCTGGCCTAATCTAGCTCTTGATGTTTCCAAGAATAGAGATTCCACAGGCCTCCAGCTCTTAGTGTCTCAGGAAGTCTGATAAGTGACCAACTCATTTTCAGATGGTAGAGCAAACCCAAAGACTCCAGTGTTCTGTGCAGTTTCTGGAAGTGGCAGACACTGGTAATTCCTCCTTGTCTTATTTGGAAAAGCACAACTTTCTCCCAGGGACCAAGCAAAAGGAGATAATTAAGAGAAATTTCCTTTTCTTAAATCCTGATAACTTAAAATGGTTTAAAAAGATGTTTTACAAAAGAATGCAGCAATGTGTGACCCATAAGTCAATGTGGTTTAGGAAATTATTCTGGGGAGCATGGCAGTCAAAGCTGTGGGCTTTGTTTTCAAGGGCTTTGGGGGCATTGGGGAGAAAGATGTTTGAATGCTCTCATTTTTTTTAAGAGAGTAAGAGATTTTTTTGGAGATTTTATATATATATATATATATGAATTGTTAATAGACCTTTATTTTATTTTTTTTTATATGTGGTGCCCAGAATCTAACTCAGTTCCACACTACTGCTGAGCCAGCCCCGAAAGTAAGAGTTCTTTAATTTTTATTTATTTATTTATCTATCTATTTATTTATTTATTTATGGTGCTGGGGATTGAACCCAAGGCCTTGTGCATGCAAGGCAAGCACTCTACCAACTGAGCTATTATCCCCAGCCCAAGATTTTTTAAAAATATTTTTTAGTTATTGATGGATGGACCTTTATTTATTTATTTATTTATTTATATTTATATGTGGTGCTGAGAATCAGACCTAGTGCCTCATACATGCTAGGCAAGTGCTCTACCACTGAGCTACAGCCCAATCCTTGATGCTCTCATCTTTCAAGTAATCTATTTTTCCCTGCTCTGAAGTTTTGAGGTCCAGTACTATAGAGGAAAACGTGGATCTGAATATGTGCCACTCTCTTCTGCAACTTCCCAGGTATATTTATACTTTACTGTTTGTGGTGCTGGGGATGAAATCCCGGGCTCGTGGTATAGGCAAATGCTGTGCCTGTGAGCTATGCCCCCAGCCTGCCAAATTCCTAAGTTCATATAGAGGAAGTGGAATAAGTAAATGGAGTCCTGGTCCCCCACCAAAAGCAGGTTGACAACCTCTCTGTATGCCATGGACTAATTAGAATAAAAGTATATCTTGTGCTACCAAGTAGATGTATTCCTGATTTTGCAAACTGGAGCATATTTTAAAAGGACCTGGGGAAATCGTTCTATTTTAAAATGCAGAGATCACCAACTGGAAGACAGCCAAATCTCTTTGACTAAAGCAGTTTTTACAATTTTTGGAACATGAATGCCTTGGTGTGCAGGAGAGGGGACATGCATTTCCCCAAACCCCACTGCTCTCTGTCGCTGTTCTCCCAGCTGCTTCCCACATCCATTTTGCTTGGCAGGTTCCCAAAGGCTTTGGAGTTTGCTACTCTGTTCTTTAAAGGGAGAGACAGAGACAGAGATATGACAGTCATTTTTTCTATATGCATACTCTAAGTTTGTCACTTTGTTCTTTGTTGTTGTTGTTGTTCTTTAAAGAAGGAATGTGTTTTGTGTGTGTGTGTGTGTGTGTGTGTGTGTGTGTGTCTCCACCCCTTGGTGGTACTGCAGATTAATCAATCCCAAGGTCCCCAGAGCCTCGAATAAGCTAGGCAAGTGCTCTGTCACTGAGCTACATTCCCAGCCCAATATATATAATGGAGCTTATAGTAATTTTACTATATGAATCCTCATTCTTAATTATTTGTAAATCTGGTCTTTCAATAATGGGGCTTTATGAAAGTAGGTTATGCTAAATTTCTTTTTTCTAAACAATTCAGCCATTCATTTTTCTTTCTTTCTTTCTTTCTTTTTTTTTTTTTTGTGCTGGGGATTGAACCCAGGGCCTTGCACAGGTTAAGCACCCCTGAGCCACATCCCCAGTCCAATATTTCTGTAATTTTCCCTGAAAGAGAAGGGATTGCCTCACCTATTCTAATTTTCTTGCTTTCTGGAAATCTTCCTTAAACTGCCAACTTTCTGCTTTAAAAAGTAGCAATTTCCATTTTGAGAAATAGGACAGTTATTTATTTTTGTAAACAAGTGGGAGATGAACATTGCAGGGAAAGGAACAGTGGAAGGACAGCCGCCCTGAGTCCAGGGCTCATGTTACCAGTCAGGACACTTGGAAAACAAGGAAGGAAGGGCTGGGCCAAGCAGATTCTAACTGCAGGGTGGGGAAAGATGGACTGCAAGCTAGTTCTCCTCATAACTTACTGCTTGTTGCACTAATGACACTTGGTTTTTAAATTCCAGGGGGAAATCAGGAGCTCGAAGCAAATGGGCCCTCCTAATGCCAGCCCCAGCTACTGCCTCTGAGTCTCAAACCAGTCTTTAGGGGGTGCTGCTTGCTTCTCAGAGGGAAGAGGTGCCAAGCAGCTTTCTAATGAAACCCACAGGTGAAAGGTTTTCCCTTCCACTCTGGCAGCTCACCCCTTCTTATGTCCTCTCAGATGCCATGCGACTCGCGTTTTCTTTGCCAAAACTAAAACCATTGCCAGCAGTTTTCAGACCAAGTTTGTAGGTCCCATTAGACCCTGAATTTTGAAATTAAAAGACTTCTGTGGCTGTTTCAGGAGAAAGGACGATCACCCAGTTCAGGCCCGGGCAGGTTAAAGAGGCTTTTGGTTCACCACTGAGATTTTTCAATTTCATGGAGGGCTCTGCCAGGCTTCTCTTCCCCAGGTTCCCAATGGTCTTGCTAAATTGTTCCCTTGGTTGCCCAATTCCTTGGAAATGGCTGCGATGATGGGGGTCAAGCCTTGGTTTGTATGTGGTGCTGAGGATCGAACCCGGGCCGCACGCATGCCAGGCAAGCGCGCTACGGCTTGAGCCACATCCCCAGCCCAAGCCTTGTGCTCTGTGCTGCGCCAACAAGGGGCTCTGCCATAATGAGGGTGACACAAGGGCAGCACCTTGTGGATAGCACCTAGCATTCAGCAGGCTCTCGATGAGTTCTTAACAGTTCATTATTTAACAAATGTTTATTTTTTGGTACTAAGGATTGAACCCAGCAGCGCTTTACCACTGAGCCACATTCCAGCCCTTTTTATTTTTCATTTTTAGACAGGGTCTCACTAAGTTGCTTAGGACCTGGCTAAGTTGCTGAGACTGGCCTCAGACTTGTGATCCTCCTTCCTTAGCCTCTGAGTCCCTGAGATTACAGGTGTGTATTACTGCACCCAGTTTAACAAATGTTTATTGAGGGTCTATGATTATCTAGCATTGTATGGGCAATTATAATAAATTAATACAATGTTACCCTTGTAGAACTCAATATTACTGTGCTGTACAATATGGTAACCACTGGCCACAGTGGCTATTTAAATAAAAAATGAGTTAAACGTTCAGTTCCTAGTTGCAGTAGTTACATTTCAAGTACTCAACAGCCACCTGTGGCTAGTGGCTGTCATTTTGGATGGTGTGGTTTACAGATCATTTCCATTATCACATAGAATTTATTAACAGTGCTACCTAGAATGGAAGCCAGACAAGGAAACAAATCATCACTCATACAAAGTCAAAAGCTCCGAAAGTCAAAAGCTCCGTTTGAAATCTGTAATTTAAATTTGGTGCAGTAGGGGCTATGATAAAGGTACACGGAAAGTACCATGTGCATGCAGAATAGGGGTAACTAACTCTCTAACTCATGGCCACTCTAACTCACGGTCTAGCCACAGAGATAAAATCCTTTTTCTACTCCAATGACAACCTCTACTTCTCATCTTTATAGATAATCATTAGGAAAAACAGATACTCTGTGATAAAGTTGAAGCAATTTTCCATTATCAGAACTAAGTGGGCACTATTTTGTATTTGCTACTCAGAATCAAGGAAAAACTTCAGACCCAGCAGAAATGCCAGAAAGTAATTTAAATGGATCTTTTTCTGTGACTCTATTTTTTATTTACACAGAATATTTTTTATTCTGTGACTAATTCAAATCAACTAGTATAATTGAGCACATATTAGATCTTACCTAAGGATGAGTAACAGACATTCTCTGCTATAGAGGTAAGACAAACATGTACAAGATCATAATATTTAGCAGAGAGTTATAGAGGTTCACAATGCCTAAGACTTCATTCAAAAGGAGGCAAATTTCATAGGGAAGATGGTATCTGAACTTGTCCCTAAGAGGATACTCAGCATTCCGTAGGTAGGGATAGAGGCCTGAAAACCACATGGCACATTTTGAGAATGACAAGAATACCGTGCACACAGTTCCATGTCTGAAATTCAACTAGACAAACAGAGCGAGAGCAAGGGAAGCAAAGTCAAAATCCAAAACTGTTTTTATTTATTATTAATTATTTAATTAATCTTATTAATTCTTGGTGAAGCAAAATCTTCATACTGGGGCCCTCATGGAGGTCTTCGAGGCCACACCAAGGAGTTTCTGCTTTGTTCTGTAGCCTGCAGGAGCCGTCCAAGGCATTTAAAAAGGAGAGAGGCATCATCAGATCTGTATGTAAGAGAACTCTGGCAGTCCTGAGCTGGCAATAATGATTGATGGAGTGTAGAGAGTGAGGGTCTGGGGTCGAGGGCCCAGCTGAGAGTCTCATTCAATAGAAATGTAAGGGGCAGAATGAGGACACAGCAGCTTGAGTAGAAAGGAGGTGTGGCCTGTGTGTCATCCAGCCATGGACATGACAAATGTAAGTGCTGGGAAGTAACCACCAGAATAGTATTCTATTATCCACAGGGCAGCCCTCGGACTGCTTGCCTTTGGTCACTACTGAACTGAAATAAAGGGGATAGGGCTGGGGGTATAACTCAATGGTGGAGTGCTTGCCTAGCATGCATGAGACCCTGGGTTCCATCCCCAAGATGAAAAAGAAAGAAAACAGAGTGCTGACTGGAGTCTCTATCTGCATGTGGTTATGGGTAGAGTCCACTATTTTTGTGCTCACCTCCCAGGTCACATTAGGCAGATGGAGAAGATTTGACCTCCATGAGATCTGGTCATCTTGCAAAAGCATACCATTAATCAGAAAGAGTCTCCACTCCTGAAAAACAAAGAGCTTGAAGTATATATACTATTGTTATGGTTTGGATATAAGGTAAAGGCATCCCCCAGAGGTTCCTGTGTTAATGCAGGGGTGAAATGATTAGATCATAATAGCCATAACCTGATCAGAGGATTAATCCATTAGACGGATTGTTAATTTGCACAGATTTCTGTGTAGTAACTGTAGGCAGGTGGTGTGTGGCTGGAAGAAGTGGACCCACTGAAGTGGAGACATGCCTTGGGGATTATATATTTTGTCTCTGGCTCCTCTTACACTCCCTTTTTATTCCTCTCTGCTTCCTGGTTGCCACATCCTTCAGCTATGATGTTCTGCTTAGCAGTGGGCTCAGAGCAATGGAATCTGCCCACCACGAAGTCAACCGCTGAAACTGTGAGCCAAACTTTTCCTTCTCTAAAATGTTCTTGTATTAAAAATATATGTTTGTGTGTGTGTCTGTGTGTATCACACACACACACACATACATTTATTTTTTTTAGTTATAGGTGGACATAATATCTTCATTTTTTTTTTAATGTGGTGCTGACGATCGAACCCAGTGCCCCCCACGTGGTAGGTGAGTGCTACCTCTGAGCCACAACCCTAGCCCTCCTGTCAGATATTTTGGTGAAAGCAACAAAAATCTGACTAACACAATTATCTAGGATGAGTCAGCAGAAATCTCTATGTTAAAATGAAGAAAAAGTTAAAAATAATAGCAGAAATCAAAACCTCTGTATTCCTAGCTATATATGTGTCTGAGAAGTTACTTCAGCCTCAAAGCTGTTTGTGGTGGAGAGCACTTGATGGCCACTTAAAATCACACACCGCTTGACTACAGTTTTCAGCATCCATTGCACTAAGATCTGGTCATACATCTGAGTTGCATCTAATGGAATGTTAGAGGAAATGACGTCTGCAACTTCCAGGCCTGGCCCATAAAATCCTCCGAGTAGTCCTCCAAACTTTCTTTCCTTTTTCGATACAGGCAAGCATGTTGGATCTTGAATGTCCCTCAAAGGCCCACATGTTAAAGGCTTGGTTCTCAGTCTGTGGTGCTATTAGGAGGTGGTGGAACCTCTAGGAGGTGGGGGTCTAGTACAAGGAAGTTAGGTCACTGGGGAAGGGTGGTGCCTTGAAGAGGACAATGAGACCCCAGGCTTCTTTCTTTCTCTCTTTCATGTTTGAGCTATGAGGGGAACAGTTTCCTCTACCACATGTTCCTGCCATGATGTACTGCTTCACCACAGGTCCTAAATCAACAGAGACAATTGCCTGTGGACTGATACCTCTGAAATCATGAGCCAAAATAAACTTTTCCTCCTTATAAGTTATTTAACTTGTAAGTTATTTTTTTGTTGTTGTTGTTGTTGCAAAGGCAGAAAACTGACAAATACAGAAGGCTTCAAAGCCAATGCCAAAGATAGAGTCATAAGACAGAAAGCAGCCCGGATCCCAAAATGACCACTTGGAGAACTGCCTGATAATAGGAACATCCATTTGGGTATTTACACAGGCTAGAAATAAACTTCTACAGTTTTAGAGCCAATTTATATTTGGGGGTTTTGTTACAGGAGCCAGCATGACCTTAACTAACACAAACTCTTTTAACACTTGCTCTATTTTTTATTGGACTTATCTGCACACTTTTCTAAATGCCCCTTTTAGAATGTAAACACTTATTTTTCCTTGTAGTTGCTTCACTGGCTTCTAAGTCTATCAAAGAGACTTCAGTTTGCAAGAATTGTTATTCCCCGTTAAAAAGACGTAGAAGTGTCCAGCTACTTGGTCTTCTAAAGAGGGACCAATAAGGGAACAATGCTTGGATTCCAGTTCTTTGAGGTCTATGGCATCTCGTCTCACTGAAAAGACAGAGAAGCACAATGTCCTTGAGGTATTACAAAAAAAAAAAAAAAAAAAAAATCAGCCAAGCGTGGGGGTGCATACCTGTAATACCAGTGGCTCAGGAGCCTGAGGCAGAAGAATCGCAAGTTCAAAGCCAGCCTCAGCAAAAGTGAGGCACTAAGCAACTCAGTGAGACCCTGTCTCTAAATAAAATACAAAATAGGGCTGGGGATGTGGTTCAGTGGTCGAGTGCCCCTGAGTTCAATTCCTGGTACCACGCCCCACCCCACCCCCCAAAAAATCACTTGTTCTGGGCCAGCCTGGGTAACATAGCAAGACCCAATCTCAAAAAAAAAAAAAAAAAAAAAAAGAAAAGAAAGAAAAATTAATCCTATTTACCAATAGCAAGATCTAAATAAAGGCACATCATAATTTACTAATATAGTTCCAACTCTACATAACTGTGTGACCCAAGAAAAAAACACAACTTTTCTAGGTCCCAGACTTCCCAATTAGAAAATAAGGAAGGGGCTGGAGGTGTAGCTCAGTAGTAGAGCACTTGCCTAGCCCACGCAGGGTCTTGGGTTTGAGCCCCGGCACCACCACAAACCATAAAGAAGGATCTAAATCATAAAGCCCCTATAGTGGGGCTTAGGTTGTGGCTCAGTGGTAGTGCACTCGCTTAGCATGGGTGAGGCACTGGGTTCAATCCTCAGCACCACATAAAAATAAATAAAGTGTCAATCTATACCTAAAAAAAAATAATTAAAAAAATAAAATGAAATAAAACCCCTATAGTTATTTCTGGCTTTAACATCTCTGGCATCTATTCACCAGGCAATCAATCTGTTAAATTGAATTGCTAAGTTTATTGGAAAATTCATTAATCTATCCAAATAGGTTATTTTTAGAATTTTCAACCTTTAATGAAAGTAAAACCTAATAAAACACTAAGCTGGGTGTTAGTTTAAAGGACAAATCTAGTTAAGATGTTTGAATACCTTCATTTTTTAAAAACCCTCTCCTATGATAGTTTGTTTTTTCCCCCAGTGTTGGGGATTGAACCCAGGGCATTAGTTCATGATAGGCAAGTGTTTACCACTGAGCTACACTCCCAGTCCAATGCTATTGTGTTTTAAACTACATTTCATGGATTATCAGTGACCGCATATATTTTTAAGGTATCTATTAGCCATCTGTATTTCCGTTTTATAGATCATTTAGTTTTAAAATGAGGACATTACAGTAGGAAAGCAGGAGGAGGCATTTCTGCCTGTGTCTGTTAGCCAGCGCCAACTCAAGGGGGCTAAAGCATCTTGCTGAGAAACGTCGCCAGCCCAGCCTAGTTGGAATTATAGGATCCTAGCCTTGGTTCAGCCCTGTGCCTCCCAGAGTATGCCTGCCTTTCATTATGTGTTAAATTCAATGGAATAAAAGTGGCTGCAAGCATAGCATTGTGGGGTTCCATATTTATTCTCTTTCTGTGACAGCCGCATCCAATTTTCTCAGTTGAGAAGTCAAAGGGGTTACAAATTCCACCCAGGACCTGGAAATCCAGCTGGGCTGTTTGAGTTTCTTTCTGCTTCTCCATGAATAAAGATTCTACAGAGGAGCCCTATACAAACAATGCTGCTAATGATGTGTGAGGCAGAAGGGTCCTCAAACTCAACTGGCTGGGGAGATACTGGCCTTGCCTGGCTAACTCTAGCACAGAAATTTATTTTTGCCAAAAAAACTCTGTAACTAGATATACACTTGAAGCACATGGACGGTGGAAGTGTTGAATCAGAAGGCTTTTTTTCCCCCTGCGTTTCCAAACCTAATCATGCTTTGCAGCCACAGTACTGTCCTGAAGTCACCCTCTGCATCTAGGTGATATGGTGCTTGTGCAGTGATTCAGATGATGGGAAAACAACAACGACAACCCTCTTCTGCCATCTGGGTTCTATCAGCAAAACAAAACAATGCTGTTGATTTCAAAAGCATTTAGAAATTCAGTTAAAAAAAAAAAAAAAACTTCAAGAAACTGACATGAGGAACCTTTGCAAAACATGATCACTGGCCAGAGCCTAGAGTTCAAGTCTAGGAAACATTAGCAGAAATGCCCCAGCAGATCACAACTAGTGGAACAAGAATAGGGAGAAAGGAGTGTTCTCAGTCCTGTGCAGAAAGGCCGTGCCTCATGGATGTTGCTCTCCAGGATGGCTAAGTTTGAGGCAATGATGCACCGCAAACAAATGTGTGCTAATGGCACACAGCAGTCCCATGGCTTCCCTCTCTCCCTGGCTGCATTCAAGTAGCCTCATTTTTTTCTACTCATATGTGCCCCATTTACTTCACCACAGAAAGCCTAGGCTATGAGTGGCACCCACAGATGAAAGCAAGAACGGGAATGTAAAAACGCATCCCGATGACAGTTTCCAGCTTGAAATGCCTGGGCCCCTAGGAAAATTTCAGTGGTAAGAAATGTGTTCATGTTTGTGTGGAGAGAAACCACACGCCCAACACTAAAAGCCAATATCAACAACCGAAAAGTCAATGGAAAACACACAGCATCACGCAGCAAGTATAATATGACCTGATTCAGTTCAGTAGGGAGAGGCAAGGGATGGTGTGGGGCAAATGATAAAATGACTGCATTTTTCCAATATTAAAAAAACACTGACAAAGAGGCAAAAGCAGAGGTAGCTGTATAGTCTTTTTGTGTGTGGGGGGAGGAGGGGTGTACTGGGGATTGAACTTGGGGCACTTGACCACTGAGCCACACCCCAGCCCTATTTTGTATTTTCTTTAGAAAATACAAAGAGTCTCACTGAGTTGCTTAGTGCCTCGAAGTTGCTGAGGCTGGATTTGAACTTGTGATCCAGCTGTGTTGGGAGCCACAGCTGAAGGGGCCCCAGCAAACTTCCAGCTGCCAGCTGCCGGCTGATGATTGGCTCACAGCGGCCCCAGCAACATCTAGCTGATTGGCTCCTCTGCAGTGATGCTCATTGGAGATGCTCATTGAGCTGTTTCCCCGCCCTTTCAGAGTGCCAGCTGATGATTGGCTCACAGCGGCCCCAGCAACATCTAGCTGATTGGCTCCTCTGCAGTGATGCTCATTGGAGATGCTCATTGGGCTGTTTCCCTGCCCTTTCAGACCACGGAGCTGCTCATTGGGGGACTTTTTTGGCTCCGCCCACACGACCCAGCCAATCGGCCTCAAGAGCAGGAGGATTGTGGGAGGTGGAGAGGCTGGTGGTTGAGGGAGAGGCTTATGGGAAGCCAGTGGTGGCAGTTGGGCTCTGAGGGTTTTTTCTGAGGAGCTGTTTTGTTTGGCATGTATGGTTCTAAAAATAAAGTTCATTTCTTTTGACAAGTGAATTATGCCCAGCCAGACTGCGGCACACCTGCCTCGGCCTCTTGAGTCACTGAAATTACAAGTGTGTGCCACTTCATTTGGCTACCTGTATAGTCTTTATCCCAACTCCTAAGCAGCCCTGGGTAACTCCCCAAACTCCCCATGACATGTAGATTGGTGAACCCATATATTTAAAAAAAAACTTTCATTTTAAAAAAATTTTTTTTTTTTTTTTAAAAACTTTATACACACACACACACACACACACACACAATAACAACCCTTTT